CCCCAAAACCCCAAAACCCCAAAACCCCAAAACCCCAAAACCCCAAAACCCCTTTTTTTATTACATGAATTGAGCCTAATAACTATGCATATTTATAACTTAGCCCTAGCATACTTGGCGATGTTCTCTTCGGTTGGTGGTGGGAACAATTCTGGGGTGAACTTGGTAGCTTTTCCCAAATTTCCCTTGATCTTCATCTTTCCTTGCATGAAGGCCATCTGTGGGTTAAGGGTACCCATGCAAACTTTCTCGAAATCTGAATCGATCATAGTAAAAGTAGCATCTGGGCTTGAAGCCTTTCCTTTCTTGCAAACTGGAGGAGAGTTCTTCAAATCGATTTCCCAACTTCCAGCAATTGGACCTCCCTTTTTAGCTCTAACATCAAATTGGAAGATAGCTCCAACCTTATCTGAAAGATCAGCACCTTCTCCTCTGGAAAGGTATTCAGTCATCATAGAGAAGATTTCTTCGGATTTCAATTCTTCTCCAGAGGTAGTATTCTTTTCAACGTTGTTCATCATATGGAACAATGTATCGTTCAAAGATTCTGGATAATCGTTCTCTCCCTCAAAATTAGTGATTTGGTCCCAGTCTGAAGCAATAGCATCTGGGGTCAATTTCTTCCAGTCGTATTGCTTTCCTTCAGTTCTTTGCCATCTAAGCTTGCTGATGTATCCAGCTCCAACTTCGAATGCCCCGCCAGTTACTTCAGTGCTTTCGTGAGCAAGGTATGCAACAAGAGGTGCAATGTATGCTGGACTAAGAGCATCAATCAATTCTTTAGAAAGAACAGTTTCTGTCATTCTTGTTCCAGCAATTGGAGCAATGGTATTAACCTGAATATTTCTACCTTCTCCTTCCTTAGCCAAAGCCATAGTGAATCCATGGATAGCAATCTTAGCAGATGAGTAATTTACTTGTCCAAAGGCTCCGAAGAGTCCAGCTCCGCTAGAAGTATTGATGATCTTTCCTGCTTTCTTTTCTCTGAAGATTGGCCATACTGCTCTTGAGCACATGAATGTTCCTTTAGTATGGCATGCGAAGATCTTATCCCAATCTTCTTCCTTCATCTTAGCAAAGGATACGTCTCTGAGAATACCTGCGTTGTTAATGAGCACATCAACTGTTCCGAAGGCATCGACTGCTGCTTTGATGATTTTATCTCCGAATTCGACTGAATCATAGTTAGCAACAGCTTCTCCTCCATTTTCCTTAATATCCTTGACGACTTGGTCTGCGATTGAAGGATCTGTGCCTTCACCATGAAGGTCAGCTCCAATTTCATTGACAAGAACCTTAGCTCCAAGCTTAGCGAAGTATTGAGCGTAGTATCTACCGAGACCTCTACCAGCTCCAGTGATTACGAAGACTTTTCCCTCAAAAGTATATGCGGACATTGTGTTAAATATTTATCTAAATTTCAAGTGCGTCATTCTTTTATGGGGTTTTGGGGTTTTGGGGTTTTGGGGTTTTGGGGTTTTGGGGTTTTGGGG